CATGGTGCGTGCATATACATACACTTTCTCGAATAGCCAGGGTAATTTCTTGTCTTTTTTTGGTGATGAGAGAATTAGTAGTCATTTTGTGGATCAGGTAAACCTCTTGTTAATTCTAGCAAGCAAAGCAAAGGGCCGGCCACAAGTACATGAAACAAACCCAATTGTTATGCTGTGGAACCGTGTCCCACGGTTTTATATTCATAATTAGTGAATTATATGGTCATAATTATGAAGTTATATATTCATAATTTTTGAACTTTATATTCACAATTACAGAATTCTATGTTAATAATTACTAAACTATATGTTCATAATTATAAAACTATATATTTATAATTTTTGAATTTAATATTCACAATTATTGAATCTCTATATTCATAATTACAGAACTATATGTTCATAATTATGTTCACAACTCTATGTTCATAATTATAGAACCATATGTTCATAATTTTTGAATTATGAACAATTTTGAAACTGTGTCCACCTTGCATGCAGCATAAGGTTATCTTGAATTCTTGATGGGCTCAAATTAGAAAAGCTAATAAACTACTCATACAAGTCAACAACTCAACCAACTTAGGACATCCCCATCAATGATTGTTGGGGAGGTTTTTAAGGAGGTCAAACTTATGTGGAGGAAATCAAGATAAGAAAAAAGAGATTTTACATGAGAAGCTTGATTTTTGCAAGAATAATAGGGCCCACCAAAAAATCAAATAATCTCCCTGGTGCGTGTGAGACGCACTCGGTGCGCCCAACAATATATATATATATATATATTATATTACTTTTCAAATTTTTTTCCTTTCATCTTCTCTTTCCTAGTCACACTTGCAAAAATTTCTCAAGAACTACAACTATATTGAGCGTTTGGTTGGAAGGAAGGAATTAGGGGGAAAAGAATTATAATTCAGTGGGGAAAGAATAAGGTGGAATAAAGTAGGAATTCAAATTACAGTGTTTGGTACGTAGGTGATAATAAACTAAAGTAGGAATTCAAATTATAGTGTTTGGTATGCACGAATAAGGCAGTGAATTGAAAGGGAATAAGTGATAAAATGACTGAAATGCCCCTATGTACTAATAATAATAATAATAATAAGACTTGCTAGTTTGGTTTTCAAGTGAAGATGAGAAAGCTAAGGGTTATGTGCGTATGAAGCAAACTGGTATAAGGTAGTTATGGCCTTATGGGTAGCAGGGCCGTATTTTAAGTTTTTGTGGCCCTGTTCTAGTAAATAAATGTGGCCCTACAAAATTACAATTTTGAAAACCAATACATGTAAGTTTCGAACCTTTGACCTACAAGTTAAAATACAATAAATACATATTCTCACCACCTCTTCATAAAACCTTTTATATTCAATTGAAAACTTTTAATTTTTATTTCGAAACTAACTGTGTAAAAATTAAATATTAAACCTCTAAAATTTGGGGCCCCTCTAAAATTGGGGGCCCTGTGCGGTAGCCCAGCTTGCACAGCCTAAAATCCGGCCCTGATGGGTAGTGATGATTGAAATGCACCAAGGGTATAGTAGGCTGACTACTGCACATTAGACAAGGGTATTTTAGAAGGGCAAAATTATCTTTATAGTATCTTTTTTTTTCTCTCATTGACCACCGAATTGTAATTCTTTGGGGATGTATGAATTCTAATTCAACATTTGGAGAGAATTGTAATTCTCTCCAATCAAACGACGTAATTGTGACTTCCATTGAATTACAATTAAATTACATCTAAATTATTTCCAACCAAATAGGCACTTAGAGATGCTCTTAGCTAGAGTTTGCCCTCCACTTTCCTTCATGCATCTTAATTCTTCGAAATCAAGATCTAAAAAAATACTCGACAGTGCACCTTCTCCAATAGCCAGGGTGGTTTCCTGTTCAGTGTGTTCTTGTAATCATAGTAGACAAAGGATCATAAAGACATAAACCAGTCTAGTACGATTATTCGGGAAAGCCCTCACATTAAGTCCAATTTAAAACGAACAGCCCAATCAATTTTATTGGAATCGCATGCATGCCTTCCATTTCCCGTCATCTTAATTTGGAAACCAAGCTCTAACAAATACGTAGTTTGTGCATGAAGTTGGGCATGGGAAGTGCGTTGGAGACATTATGCGGGCAAGCATTCGGAGCAGGAGAGATGAGGATGCTGGGCATATACATGCAGAGATCATGGGTCATATCGCTCATCACAGCTTGTGTTATGCTTCCGCTTTATGTCTTCTCTCCTTCCATTATCCGCCTCACTGGCCAGACACCTCCCATCTCCAAATCCGCCGGTACGCTACGGTGGGGACACCCTCAACTTTTCTCATATCAATTATTCATATATTCTTGAATATATATTAGTTCTTCATATACAATTTAGTCACTTGTGGACCAAAATAAATGTAGGCAAGTTTGCAGTGTGGATGATACCACAGCTATTTGCATACGCTTTAAACTTCCCAATACAAAAATTCCTGCAAGCACAGAGAAAGGTGTTGGTAATGACATGGATATCGGCAGGAGTGGTGGCGCAGCATGCACTGTTTAGTTGGCTATTCATACTAAAGCTCCGGTGGGGATTAGCGGCGGCGGCCCTCACTCTCAACACTTCATGGTGGCTCATAATAGTTCTGCAGTTGCTATACATCTTCGCCACCGATAAGTGTGACGCCGCCTGGACTGGCTTCTCATGCCTCGCGTTCCATGACCTCTTTGGCTTCCTCAAGCTTTCCCTTGCCTCTGCGCTCATGTTGTGGTAATTAATTTAATGATACTGAAACGAATTGAAGCATGTATGCTCAACACGTCCCCCCTCACGTGTGCGGTGGGTTCCAAACAACACATTCGGACCCATGAAGGCTCTAATACCAAATTTAAGCATGTGCTCCATCTCAACTAAAAACATAAGCTGATAGTTAGATTGCACATTAATATAATGGTTATATGCTCAACAAAACATTTACGTAAATCTTGTTTTCTTTATTTTTTTCTGATTCTTTTTTTTTTTTTTCTTGGGTTTTGCTGCATGCATGCATGCAGCTTGGAGTACTGGTACTTGATGATCCTAATCATCATAACAGGTCTTTTAAACAACCCCATAGTACCGGTTGATGCCATGTCTATCTGGTAATTAATTAAGTTTCTTCATTTCTTTCAATCTGTCTGAAAATCTGAACTAACAACTAACATAGTATGTACATGCGTATTAATTACTAAGAACTTGTTTGTTTTTCTGCATTTATGCAGCATGAACATTGAAGGATGGCAAGCAATGATTTCCATTGGATTTAATGCTGCCATAAGGTATTAATAGCTAATGATCATGTCTGTGATGCATGTATATATAAAAAATGGATATTAATTATTGCAGTGTGAGGGTATCGAATGAACTGGGAGGTGGGTATCCGCGGGTGGCGAAATTTGCAGTGCTTGTAGTCTGTATTACATCCACAGTGATTGGTGGCATTTGCATGGGAGTTGTGTATGCTACAAGAGAGTATTTCCCCTACTTTTTCACCAACAGCCACGCCGTCGCTAAAGAAGCTACAAAGCTTGCTGTTTTGCTCGCCTGCACTTGCCTCATAAACAGCCTTCAGCCAGTTTTATCCGGTAAGCAATTAAGCTCATCCAAATCTGAATCCGGCCTGCGTTTGGTTGGAATGAGAGAATTAGGTCAGGGGAAAGAACTTGTAATTTTCTGGAGAAAGAATAAAGTGAGAATTTAAATTACATTATATTGTTTGGCAGACAGGAATATAAAATTGGGAATATGTTCTTGCTGATTGATCTGATTCAGGGGTTGCCATTGGAGCTGGAAGGCAAGCTATTGTAGCATATATCAACATAGGATGTTACTACATTGTTGGGTTTTCCTGCTGGGATTTACCTTTCACTTTGGTGTTATGGTAATTAAATTCATGTACGACTTAGTTTGTTAGAGCAAGGGATCATCAAATTATTTAAAATTTCATCAATCAAACTCTTTTGCTGATTTGCAGGGGATTTGGGTAGGGATGATTGGAGGCATATGCTTGCAGACAATCATCCTTATAGTCATCACTTCACGCACGAATTGGGAGAAAGAGGCCAGCCAAGCAGAAACTCGCGTTAAACTGTGGGGAAGAGCCATTTCAAGTAGTTAATTAAGCATGAATGCTGCCATAGAATATAATGTTGGAAAATTTTGAGTAATACATACAATAAAATAGGAAGTGAGAGAATGAAAGTTAGACTTTTAATCATTTTTCTATATAAGTTTTTAATCTCTTTCACTAAGTAATAGGGAAAATTATACTCCGTATTAGATTAAGACTTTAAAACAAAATTCTTAAGTTGTTCTACTAACAATTTTTGTATATTATAATGTAGTATATGTCTATACATACTTTCTCAACTTATTTAAGCATATATAACCTCTTATTTGGGAGAGTTACAACTATATATATCGCTTGATCACAAAGATTTTTAGAAATTATATAAAACACTTAAAATTATAAATTTAAATAAATGTCTCCCTTACAAAAAGAGTTCGATTTTTAATAAAATTTTTACTAAATTTAAAGTAATAGTTCATTTGCCAACTACCCTTTAGTGTGATGGCATTCCAATTATCATTTTAAATAGATGGTCATAGGTTCACTCTTTAGGCTGAAAATGTTTGAGGGAATATAAAATAAAACAAATACTACATTGTAAAATATCATGAATATTTCAAAAAAAAGAAGTAATAGTTCATTTTATAATTTAAACTAATTAAAGTTTAAACGTATTTCTTTAAGTCATAATTCAACCAAAATTAAAATGTTAAATATAATCAGTCACTTAACATTATGTACTTTTAGAATAAAAAAATACAATTTGTTTACTTCTCCAATTTTTATTTTTCATTTTATATATATTTTTATATTCAAATATATAAGACAAATAGACAATGTATTTATTTTTCTTTTTCGAACTTCCTATTTTTCTAACAATAAATTTTTTTTTTTAAATGGCATCATCAAGTTATCATCAATTCCTGTTGCTATCCACTACTGATCCGCTTGGGAGGAAAAGCAGCCCCTCACCCTGCAACTCCCAACAGATTGAAATGGCGATTTCATTGACTTCTCTCACCGCATCCTTCGCCTCTCTCTCCTTCTCCTCTCACGTCTCACAGAGGCCCCGTGCGCTGTCGTTTACCCATTCCAATCGCCTCTCTCTGTCTCATACGCGCAAAATCCCTAGCTTCGTCGTAGTGGCCTCCGCCGTGGAGGCAGCTCCCTTGACCGAGGATCTGGAAACCGCTGACCTCCAGAAGTATGTCAAGTCCAGGCTTCCTGGTGGCTTCGCCGCCCAAACTATATTCGGAACTGGCCGCCGCAAGTCCGCCAGTGCTCGCGTCGTCCTCAAGGAAGGTTCCGGCAAAGTCATCATAAACTATCGCGACGCCAAGGTACAGCCTACTCGCCGCTATGCTTGTCTATATTAAGCTTGTTGGAAATGATATATAGAGTTTAATTATGGAACTTCTTAGCTAATACTAACCGCTGATTATTGTGAGAGTATGCAATTTTGGCTGTTAGAGTACTCTGAAATTGATTCCGAAAACTGTATTGAATTTGGAACGTAGCTGCATTGCACAGTAGGCAGTAGTGTATCACTCCTTATCAAATATTAATGGCTGATTGTTGTGAGTGCGGCAATTTTGGCTGTTGAAGTACTGTGAAATTGGAACTCGGAGAACTGTATTTGATTTAGGAAGTAGCTGCATTGCACAGTAACCAATTGTGTATCACTCCTATGCTGATATTGAATAAAAAGATGCATCCTAGGAATGTGTTAGCATTTGGTAAATGATGGCTGAACCATGTGTTTCTCAGGTTACAGTAGGAGCTGTTTGTAGAAATATGGCTGCAGAAAGGTAGAAATCCTAAAACGTAAACAATTTCCTACAAAAGTAAACTTTAAGTTTAAGCCCTTTTAGGCTTTGTGGACTCATTTCAGGATCCATCTTTAACTTGTACTGAAAGACATGCAATTATAAAATCCAGTAGTCTGATAACCATATTAATAGCTTGATTACAATTTCTTTTCTGTTAACTTCTGCATTGATGAGAACCATTTAATTGGAAGAAATATAGAGCTGTAAATTGATGTTAATGAAATCTTCATCTGAACTGGAAAGGTCCGTTGCCTGATCACTCTATACATGTTTAATTAGGGGTTTCATCTGGGAAAATGAAAGACCTGCTAGCTTTCATTTCCTTTCTGAGGGTTGATACAGAAAATGTTAATGATGTGATTCTTCTATAATCTCTCTTATGTTATTCCATTAATCCTAGATCCTAGTGTTATTTTAATTGTTATTCTATCATCAATTGTAGTGTTTTAAATGAAGAAGAGAACTCAATTGTCTGACTTTTCTAAGGTAAAACTATTTACATTATACTTTGTTACTTGCAGGAATATCTTCAAGGAAACCCATTGTGGATTCAGTATGTTAGAACTCCGTTGGTAGTTTTAGGATATGAAAGTAGTTATGATGTTTTTGTCAAGGCACAAGGTGGTGGTCTTTCTGGACAGGCCCAAGCAATCTCCCTTGGCATTGCTCGTGCTCTACTGAAAGTGAGCGAGAGCCATAGAAAACCTTTGAGAGAAGAAGGCCTACTGACCAGAGACTCGAGAGTAGTGGAAAGGAAGAAAGTTGGTCTCAAGAAAGCTCGGAAAGCTCCACAATATTCCAAACGTTGAGGTTAGAGTGCTTAATGCCCAATAAAATTATCAGAGACAAAAGTGTTTGTGTGATTTTCGATGTCCATGATATCTCATTCAAGCTTCTTTTGCTTACTCTTTATTTTTCTGTTATTACTTTATTCATAAAGCTCAAATTTGAATCATAAGGTACAAACACTTTAACCTTTGTTTGTTGGTGTTAGAACTTACAAGAAAACAAAACATGAAACAAAGATTCAGAGTTCTGTGCTGGTTTGTCAATGATATAATTGATGCTTCATGGTTATAATTCTTTATTCAACTTGTTTTGCAGATATTTTGGATGATCATAGGCGAAGCAGTAGGATTGCTGATCATGTATGGTATATCCAAGAGTTTAAGATGAACTAATGAGCTATATTTTGAGATATATTCCTTGTAAATTACTCATTATGTTGTAGTGTTTTAAATGAAGAAGAGAACTCAATTGTCTTGTTACCTGAAATTACCATTTTTTTCCTGCTTTTTTCAGTTGGACAATAACCTTCATCCTTTGTAGTTTGTAGAATGAATCCAATATTGTCCAACAAAGAAATTGATTTTGAATTTTTTCGCCCTTCAATCATAAATAAAAGTACTCGTAATAGATTCAGTCTCCATTATTGACGTCTCTCCCCTGGATTCTCATGTTGATGCTAAAGTTGTGTCTCAACTATTAATGAAGGAATAAGGTCCAAATTGGCCACTGAACCTAATCTGAAAGTGCAATTAGGCTATTAAACATTCTAAATGCACACGAGTTCAAAACGACATCATTTTTAGGAAAAACGCGGCATTTCAGTTTTTAAAAAAATTGATTTTGTCTCGTCGTTAACGGTGTTATTCGTTTGTGGAATTATGAATGTACAGTTATGGAATTATAGAATTATGAACGCAGAGCTCTGACATTATGAACTTAAAATTATGAACATATTAGTGATAAAATTATGAACATAAAGCTCTAGAATTGTGAACATAGAGCTTCGAAAATTATATATTTACAGCTATTGAATTATGAATGTACAGTTACGGAATATGAATGTACAGTTATGGAATTATGAACACAGAGCTCTGACATTATAAACTTACAATTATGAACATATAGTGATAAAATTATGAACATATGCTCCTATAACGAAGCGGTCTGAAATTAAAAAAAAAAAAAAAAAAAAAAAAACTGGAAGATAACGGTGCGACTAATGGCACCGTTACCATGTCCACAATACATGCTGGACACGGGTCCATAGCATAACGATTGCTCTAAATGTATGCAATTTGGATGTTGTCTTTTATGACCCGTTTGGTTCACGGAATAGACCGAAAATGACATAGCATTTCCAGTAATGGGCCTATTTCTTTGTTTGGTAACCATTTTTATTACCATGAATAATATTCCTATTAATAGTCCTATTTTTATTACCATGAATAATATTCCTACTAATGAAACTTTCCCCCAAATAAGGTAATAGCTATTACCAGGCCCCTGGTATTAGTCTATTCCTTCCTGAGCCCTCATGAATATATTTTTTTTTTCAATTTTACGTTTTTTGTTTAACCTATCTTTCTCTGGTTCTCTCTCTATGATTCCTTTTGACATCTGCGATTCCTTCCCCATCTACACCCGTCTTTACAATTCCTTTCATCATATGCATCAATCTTTGTAATTTCTTCCGCTATCTGCATTAATCTTTGCAATTCCTTCTGCCATCAGCATCAAATTAAAACTTCAAACAAAGGTATTCTTCTGAATTTTATTTTTTTACAAATTATTTATATATATATATATATATATATATATATATATATATATATATATATATATGTACACACACACTGCTGCAGCTGCGAGACAAATATGATTAGTCTCGTTACATGAAGTTATAGTGTATCATGGTTGAGAAAATTTTATGGGTCGATTAAAAAAAAATAGAGAAGAGAGTAAATGGTGAATCTAATTTGATTTTGTCAAAATAATGAAATATGACGTCACAACTGATTTACGTATAACTGACTAACCGTCGAGCATGCTAAAGCATGTCGCGTTTTTGCAACAGTCGCAGATGTTCAAAATACATAAATACCTCACCACTTTATCCCCTTCATCCTTTATTCTCTTCTTTGTTCCCACATTCCTCAGATGGCAAAGTGTAGCGCCGACGACCAGGAGCTCCGGCGAGCCTGCCAGCTCGCGATCGAAGGCACGAAGCAGAAGGTCGTAATGTCGATGCGAGTTGCCAAGAGCCACGGCAGCTGGGGCAAACCCGGGAAATTAGGCCGCGGTCAGATGGCCAAACCAAGGGTTCTCGCCATTTCCAGTATGCTATCAATTCAATCATTTCATTGTTTTCCCTCCTTATCCACGTATAGAAACTTTATTTAATTATCTGATGATGTTTGTTTTCGCATTTTAATTCAATTTGAATTTCCGCTTTAATTTATGCCATTCATCTTAGAAAGACGCTTGAGATGAAGATCTCGCTCCATTATTCCTTTGCGTTTCCAATAATCTTAGTAGGAGCTTGTTTTATTCAAGAGATTTGGAGGTAGCTAGTTAAATGTGTACTTCACTATGAATCTATGATCATGGTGGTTTAATTTGAGTGAGTAAACTGAGCGTCTGAGGAAATATTGTCATTTGATTGGAATTGAAGTTTATGATGACTATGTGAGTAGTGAGTACCATATCCTAACTTCTATATACCTTGTGGTTTATGCAGCAAAACAAAAAGGTCAGCGGACTAAAGCTTTTCTCCGTGTGTTAAAATATTCTTCTGGAGGAGTACTTGAAGTAAGTACTCACGTAAAGCTACTAAATATGCTAGACTCATTGATTTTGGAGGCAGTGCAGGAATTTTGAGTTCAGTATTTTGCTGTTACTGGTTGTTAGAGGATTTATATAAAAGAAAGTTATTGCATTATTTCTTTAAATCTATCAGCAATACTTGTATAAAGTAGGCTCCTTTAATATTACCTATAAATACACATCATCTCATGATTTACAATTTAGCCACATCTTTATGAAACTAGTGTTTCAGCTAACAGTAGAACCACTTTTTACTTCCAGTCTGCAAATTTATATAAACTGAAGCATCTTTCAAAGGTGGAGCTTGTAACTAATGATCCAAGTGGATGTACATTTACACTGGTAGTCCTCGTTCCATGACCTGCTTTTCCATATATATCCTGAGAATATTGGCTTAATAATGCACATAGGGAATTGCCCACTCTTGAAAAAAGATTTAATGGATTGTCCTATTGCTATAGGGATTTGATAATCTTAGAAATGCTACTGTAGCTCCCCCTCAGTGGACCATGCGAAATGTTGACGACAGGTGCAAACGTACTTGAGCAACTCAAACTTCCTTTTTGCTTACTTATATTTCATTATTTTTCTTAATCAAACTTTATTTTGTATGTTTTTAGGAATCGCTTTTTGCTTTGTATCTTAAACATTTGCAAGGATATCTTGGGGCATCTTCCAAAGGTTACTGGCGTAGATGTGGTTGAGATGGCACTTTGGGCGAAGGTACACCATGAAATTTTTTGTTGAATCATGCTTGTTCTGCTTAAACAATAATAATAGCATCAGATGAATAATAATAATAATAACATCAACAGAAATATTTTCTTTACAAATGTCTATTTCTAATATCAAAAGAGATTCTCTATTAATGATAAAGTTTTCTTGTAAAAAACAAGAAAATTATTTAGACTGACTTCAAGATCATCTTTATTTTGATGGCTAATAACATTGTGACTTGAGAGACAATGTCCATATTAGATTGGGATAAGACCAATCTACTTACAATCTCTTTGTCATTTTTAAAAAATAAATGTAAAATAAGATATACATTCCTGATTTAGATAGGTTGATACTTGATTGTTTTTCCCATGTGATTGAAGTCTGCAATTAGTAAGTCCTTCTGTGTGATAGCTTTCAATCATAGTCTAAATATATATAGAACTAATGCAGGAAAACACACCTGTAACTACCAAGCAACAAGGTGGTAAACTTGAAGATGGGCCAATGACCGTTGTGGAGGAAGAAGCAGATATGACAGTGACTGTTGAAAGGGACCTTGTGTCCCAAGCAGAAGAGGAGGACATGGAGGCTCTTTTGGGCACGTAAGTAACCCTTTCCCTTTTTATCCTGAATTTGACCCATCTACACATTCAGAAACGTAAATTGCACATCTCCTCCTTCTGGAGTAGTAAACTGTGGACTTCTCTTTGCTATTCAAATAAAATTCTGCCGTGACTGGGAGGAAAGAGAGATTAGTAAATTTAATTTTATTCTAAATACATGAGACGTTTTGTGCTGTTTCAGGATTGAAAGACTTAGGATGCCATTTGCCAAGTCTCATTTATTATTGTTTGTTTAGTGTTTACATTACTTTAGCTTAGTATCTAGGCAATGCCAACCAAATTATAATAAGGAACCTATAGTGTAATGCAAATGACTAATTCCTCTAAAACTGCATTTGTGCAAGTCAAGCCACAAACTATGCGCCTATCAGTTAGCTGCTGATAAGTTTTACTGTATGTCCTCCCTTCAATTAGGATAGGAACAAATAAAAAATAATCAGCACTGACCTATCTGTATGAGAAGTCGAGATGCTCTACATTTTTGTTTGTGAAATTTCTGTGTTTTCTTCATGGTTAATATTAAAAAATTGGATACAATCCTATACTTACAAAATTAACTCTTTCATCATTCTATCTTATCATCTTAATGCATTTCTGATTATGTTTAGAGTGGCATGGTTTACAGATATGTCATGGGCATTGGTGAAGCTGAGGCATTTTCTGAGAGGTTAAAGAGAGAGCTTCAAGCTTTGGAAGCAGCAAATGTACATACCTTATTGGAGAATGAGCCTTTAGTAAATCAGGTGACTTCACACTTTTTTCTTCCTGTATTATTTTCTCTCTGATTCTTACTTCTAAACTGCTATAAGCATGTGTGCTGTTTAAATTTTGTCACAGACTTCTGCATGTTGAGTTTGAGGCACGTCTATTACACATCTTTATTTTCCATGGCTATCAACACTGATATGCTGGTTATAAAACCAGATTTGATGTGTAGTTTTATGTATCCACCTTTGAAGAAGAACTACATAAAGATCTCTTCAAAGACTTGTTTTTTATATTAACTATGTCCTTATTAGTAGACAATACTGAATTTTGTGTTCATCTCAAGTAATATTTATCATCCTCCACACCTTGCTTTCAGTGTGGGCCAGGTTCTTTTCAATGTGCCAAACGTGTTGAAATTATGCTAATTTGTAGTGAATGATATTCAAACCTAGTACCATTGCTTGCTTTGTTATCATATTGATTATGTGGTCTACCTCAACTAAAATTTTAAATTTTAGAGACAGGGATACATTTACTTTTTAAATTTATAATCATCATAAATATTCAACCTCAAATTAACCACTATTTTTCTGCTTATTATGTAATTATGGTCCTACAGGTGCTGCAAGGGCTTGAGTCAGCCTCTAATTGTGTTGAAGATATGGATGAATGGTTGGCAATCTTTAACGTAAAACTTAGACACATGAGAGAAGACA